AAGGGTATGGTTTTTCAGCCGTTTTGGTCATAAATAGGGTATCGATTTTAGCTGATTTTGGCCATTTTGCTCATAAATAGGGTATGGTTTTTGCACTCTAGCCTTGATATGGGTATGTTTTTAAGAAAAAGCCACTTTTTCATCATTATCGAAAAGTCAACAAAAGGCCTTCACAAATTATGTTTTCAGAAATTTAGCCTTGGTCTGAACTAAGGAACTAATTATAATGCAGATCTGAAATAGGGTTTTGATTTAAGGGTCAGGTCATGAATGGGGTAGGGAATATCGCAGATTTTGGTCATAAAAAGGGTAAGGGTTTTGGGAAGCGGGTCGCACACCCCCACCCAATTTTTTCTGGGAGTACCCCCTCCCCGGGAACCTGCGGAACCCCTGATCGCAGGTTTAAAACTGGCCAGCACTGTCGGCATGGCAGAGCGTATGTTTGTGTGGAGGCTGATTGCTGGAAATCTTTTGATAGCAGTTCCATGAAAGCACCAGAACCTTGCGTCACATTTCTTGCGTCACATTTCTTTTCGTCCCTTTATTCCCTTCCTCAGTTAGTGAGGGCCCTGTGGCAGTGCTATGAGGCGGGAGTACTTCGACGCGAAATACAAGTTGCGTTCACGCACGAACACAAGTTGCATTCGCGCACGAAACAAACTATTCGCGCGCGTAATCCCGCTGGCTGCGTCATTCATTCTCCATTCCATTCAAACGAAAACTTCATTCGACAAGTGTAAACGAAAAACGGCAAATACGCGATCTTTAGAAACTCATACGTGACCCAGTCGCCTAACGTTATAAAATTTATTCCCCCCCCCGAAAAATTTTCCCTTTGAATTGATATTTCTAATTTAAAATAAGAACGTACGTTCCACGTTGAGTCGAACATCAAAGAATATATAAGATAGATTCGAAACGCACAGCAGACATGTCACGATTTTTGCGACCACATTAGTCACTGCCGTTAATTTAAGTGGAGGCAGAGACTTTCGTAAGAGCATTCTAAAAAATAATGCGCATATACAACAACAGGGTTATTGAAATGAGGTACAAAAGACTATGCTGTTGGTCATTGATTTTTGTAACATTTGGTGGCTCCTAAATTAAAGGAGCCGTTTGTTTTAATGGGAAACCCACATAGTGAGTTTACTTGCTGCTGGTGTACTTGGTCACAGCCTTGGTTCCTCCATTCAGAGCGTGTTTGGCCAGTCCACCGAGCAGAAGCAGCCTGATGGCGGTCTGGATCTCGCGGGAGCTGAGGACGGTTGATTTCTTGTTGTAGTGGGCAAGGCGGGAAGACATAACGGGCCCAACATGTACAGCGCATGCCCAATGTCCAAAAATAATCGAGCTTATTTGTTGTGCATGGAGGTTACCAAAAGTCACCTACATAACCGTATTTGTCAGCATTGTGGCGTGATAACAAACACGGTGACCCCCCCCCCCCTTTTTATTACATTTTTAATATCTCCTTGTCCTGTAACCTCAGCATACCAAGTTTCATTGGAAATCTATGGCGGGTTCTTTTACTAAGGAATCACCTTAAAAATCAAGAGTACTGTTGTTTTACTTTCGCATATCGTCCTATGCCTTGTGGGGGTTTACGCGCGCTTATTTTGATCATGAAAACGGTCAATCCGTTGATTTTGAGCTTCAATTTTATTTAAAGGTACCGTAATTTTCGCATCCTAGAAACAAATGTGCGGAGATTACGTCAACGCCCTGGCTCTACACTGGTCGGCTCGCTGCGTTATTTCAAATAGCTTAGGATTGTGTCAGCGCGGCATCAGTATAATGAAAGAATCGGAGCGGGTTTTCTTCCGTCCCGATTCACGCTACTGTACCAAACTCGAAGGTCGCTGATCATAAGTCGGCGGAGACAAAGAGCGCCTATATCTTACAAATCGACCAGGAAAACAAGGTAAACAAGGTAAATAAGGTGGTTTTTTTTACATTTCTCGCGAGATCCCTTGAGAGGAATCATGGAGGAAATAAAGTTAGGCATGTTGAACGGCTGGCTCTTAAGAATAGAGTGATGACGTCAATAAAATTGACCAGTCATAATGCGCGAACTATTAGCCAAGAATAAATAGAATACGAAACTTTTGGAGTTTGTGAACAATTTTTTCCCTAACTGAAAACACGTAAACAAATATCTATTCCCGACCTTGCTTAGGACCAAACCACCCTTTGTCTAGTATGGTATCCGTCTCATTTGTTGCCCATGGCGGAACATAAGCTGGTGTTGTCCATGCACCACGACCAGCTATTCTTCTGACATCTTTGTGTCTAGATGATCCCGAAGACAT